TAGGGAGCTCCAGACCGTCCTCTCCCCGGCCACCTCCACCAGCTCCTCCGGCAGGACCCCAAGGCATTCCCGGACCAGATTGGAGATGTAACCTCTCCAACGTGTCCTGGGTCGACCCGGGGGCCTTCTGCCGGCAGGACATGCCCGAAACACCTCCCCGGGGAGGCGTCCAGGAGGCATCCTGACCAGATGCCCAAACCACCTCAACTGACTCCTTTCGATCCGGAGGAGCAGCGGTTCTACTCCGAGTCCCTCCCGGATGTCCGAGCTCCTCACCCTATCTCTAAGGCTGAGCCCGGCCACCCTACGGAGGAAACTCATTTTGGCCGCTTGTATCCTCGATCTCGTTCTTTCGGTCATTACCCAAAGCTCATGACCATAGGGACCATAGGGATTGGGACGTAGATCGACCGGTAAATCGAGAGCCTGGCTTTCTGGCTCAGCTCCCTCTTCACCACGACAGATCGGCTCAGCGTCCGCATCACTGCAGACGCCGAACCAATCCACCTGTCGATCTCCCGATCCCTCCTACCCTCACTCGTGAACAAGACCCCGAGATACTTAAACTCCTCCACTTGAGGCAGGACCTCTCCCCCGACCCGGAGTTGGCAAGCCACCCTTTTCCGGTCGAGAACCATGGTCTCAGATTTGGAGGTGCTGACCCTCATCCCAGCCGCTTCACACTCGGCCGCGAACCTACCCAGCAAGAGCTGAAGGGAGCAAGAGCTGAAGGTCAGAGCTGGGTGAAGCTAGGAGGACCACATCATCCGCAAAAAGCAGAGACGAGATTCTCTTGCCACCAAACTCTGTTAAGGATTACTTCATACACTGTCAAATGTTTTCGAAAAGTAACTTTTATACCAATCACTGCTGAAGACTGCGTTGTACCTCTGGAACAAGGACATCAAACACCAAGTCCAGAAACTGGAACTCTCCCTCCTTTATTAGTTTATCTATTCTTGAGCATGAACCAATCCGCTCTGTCAGCTCGTCAACCTATAAAACACGTTAACATAAAAATGAACAAAACGTTCCTCTCAGCATTACACAACGGACCCAGGTGGCCCACTGGCCAGCATCCACATAAATAAATGTGATGCAGCTTATTGTAAGTCAGTATACATTTACCTGTGCATCAGCAAAGTGGAACATCAGTGGCTTTAGTCTTTGCTTTAATTTAAGCGAGACACCTGGATTGTGCCACAGATACATGAGGCCAGACTTCACTCCACCGCTGCAGAGATCCTTATACACAGTCTGAGTAGAGACAAGAGTTAAAAATAAGCAACATTACCACAGATAACAAGAGATTGCATTATCCTATGTCCAATTTTAGAGTCTTAATTTATTATAATTAAACATTACCTTGACTTCACCATCTGAAGTAACTGCCTGGGTTCCATTTTTCAAAGCCTCGATTGTCCTGTAATTTAGATAAAAATACATCTTATTAGCAAATGAAGAATACAAGCACATGTAAGGAGTTTTGTCAGGGTCACTTGAAAAAGTCCGATATTCATTTTAGATCTATATTTAAGGCCTGTAACTCCTGAATGATTTGCAGCTACATGTGCTTAAATCCGGTAATATTAACATAAACCATACCCGATCAAAGCAGTCAGTCGACAAAAATATCTATTTTTTATAAGGTTAGGATTATTCTGAAACAGAATCAGAAGGAGGGCGGCATTAATTAGAGAAGCGGCTACTATTTCAAAGTTATTGTACCTGTTGCAGGACACCTGATTTGTGCAACCACAGTAGAATGACCCAGCACAATACCACACGCAATAACTGAAAAATATTTAGAGATATTGAAAGCTAAGCTTGTCCAGAAAATACATTTTATTTCTGGGTGCACAGGACCAGTTCCAGTGTGGGCCAGATGCTGAAAAATAAATTCATAAATCTGTCTTTTTGAAGTTTCACAAATCAGAGAAAGGTTTCACAAATCACAAACTATGTTTTGTGCATTCCTACTAGCCCAGAATAATCTAAAACAGGTTTGAAGAGTGTATGTATTGTAGGTTTTGAGCTAGAGCAGAATAAAAATGGTCAGAGTAGAGAAAAATTGGGTGTATTAGCCCTTTAGCCATTTCCCGAATCGGAAGCTAACTTTAGCCTCGTATGAAAACTAGTGATTGAAACCACTTACAAATCTCTGAAAATCTACTCTTTTTAATTAAAAAAGGGTATTAATAACGTTTCAGTCAAGTCAGTATTAGAAATCGTGGTCTTTATATCATATCTAAATTATATATAAAGTTAAAATTATTACTTTAACTGTTTTAACAAACAGGGAGACCAGAAAAATCAAATAGCTAAGTTAAAGCTAAGCTACAATTGCTGATAGCTTTATTATGTAGCTTTTGTGTTAGCTAGCTTGTGATCTCCCTGCATTCGTTTTAAGACTGCGTGTTAATATTGATACGATTAGCTATGAAACACGGTGCCTTTGCAATAATTCTCTGGTAAAGCTTTAAACGCTATAGTGCCTACATTTAAGAACCAAGAACGGTTGCAACAATTAGTTAATTTCATCCTTATCTTTCTTTCTTTATCTATCATCCTTATCCTTACCTTTCCTCAATTGAAACCCGCCGAGTATGGTTGAAACAAAAAACAACGTAGCGGCCGCCAAAAAAAGACCAACTTCCTGCCGAGGTCTTTCGCTCGTCGATTTTCCGGTAAAAGTAATGACACGCCATCTTGCTCTCGACACACCAGCTGATGTCTGCAGCCAGGTCCTACTCGTTATCCTCGGCTCTCTTTGCAATGGCGGCGCTGTAAACAACAGCGGCGTCCTGACCAATCACAAGCTTGCGTCATCCGTCTCGTTCGACGGATGTTTAAAAAAGTGGGCTCGACTCCGTACTTACTTGCGTGCCCTACGCAAGGACAGATAATGGCGTTGTGTGTCTCCGCACTGACGCAGACGGAGAAGCATAAATCAGGCTTGACTCCCACACGTGCCGGTGAACCAACCCACCTTCATGTCGCTAGTGTTCCACCGGGTGGTGATGTTAGCCCCAGGCGCCGGTTAGCTTCCAGCTAAAAGGCTACAGCACTCTCCTCCCAGTCCCACCCTGCTCAAGAGGGCCTGGAAAAGTTCCCCCACACATCAAAGTGATTTTTCATTTATGAGCTTTTATAACCTTGTTAATCAGGATAGTTGATTTGCTGCTGCACATAAACTGTCAGTCAGAAACTCTGCTAGCCGGTTATCTTAGTTCAATTTGTTAGCTTGTTATCAGAATCATAGTTGCAGTTTCATCATCTGAGCTGCTTTTTAAGATCTAGGTAAACTTGTTCAATTTGGGGTTAAAAACAAACATTTTCACATATTTTCCATGTAATTTTTTTGCCAGTTCCTCTTCTGAAAGGTAGACAATTGTTTTTCTCTTTCCCTCAGAAAATCTTAATATTCTCCTAGTTTGGCCCAGCACAGTTCACTTCCCAATTACAGCAACAGCCTTCTATCATAACCACATAAGTGGAGAAAATGCTCAGTAGCAATGAGAGAATTTGCTGTTGCATTTAAGTGATGATAACTATTATTTAACATTTAAACTTATCTGATTTTTTTTATTTATTCAAAAAACCCTGGTAAGGGATGTTTTTCTGTATTTGGAGCATCAGAAAAAGTTTTATAGTGGTGGTGATGTTTTAAAGTCACTGAGAAACTGCATGTATGCAGTTTGTTGTTTTGCTGCTAATACAGTAGCAGGTGCAGCTGCATATTTTTGCAATAAAAATGTTATGTTGTGTAACGTGAGGACAGTTGTAATGGAATTCATGCATTAGTTTTTGTTTGCTTTGAACCCAGAGCAGACGTCACACGCCAGACGACATCAACACTGCAACCTTTAGTATTTGTTCATTTATCGCGAGTAATATCGATATCGCAAATTAAGCACTGTTATCGAATATCGCAGGTTTTCCTGATATCGTGCAGCCCTATATTCCAGTAATGGCAGAGATGTCTTTACGGCGGGTTAACTGCAGTGTTTCACACCGTGGTTAACAGTCAAACCGATTAATCCTCGCTACCCTAGTAATAAGAAGCCTAAATTTTAATTATTAAACGTCCAGAAGAGACACGTTGAAACTTTAATTTTGGAACTATTTGTCAACCATGATGGAATGTGTCGGTGTGACGTTTCAGCGGTCATTAAACGTTCAAATGTTTGCTGGGAGGCTGGTCGCTGTAGTACTTTTTTCAAAAACCTTTAACAACTTTCAAAAAGTTATTTGAAATAAATAAAAATTCGTAATGCTTTGTCTAAAAGTTTCAGAGCATCAACTAATCATCCTAAAACAAATTTTATTTCAGAATTTCAGAAAAAGAACTTGAGCCAGTTCTCCCGCAGCAATGGATTGTGGGTAATACACTTCACCCAAGTCTGCATCGATGTGGACTTGGGTGAAGTGCGAATCAAGGTAGCAAAAGGGGCGGGATCAACATCTGCACTTGAGAATCGGTACACCCTACGCACTCACACCCATGGTTAGGATCGCACAATTGAAGAGTGGAAGTGCGAGTATTGGGTTTGGGCGATATACGTAGATGCCCCGTGGACTGGTGCTGCCTACTAGAGCTGCCATAGTGGCCGGCCGCCATCTTAGATGGGTCTCATTTGCCCCTTTTTACTGAGGCCGCTAAATTAGTAACCAGTGGTGACATGGTAGGCTTATTTAGGAATGTCGCTAGGTTTGTCGCTAGGCGCTTTTTGGAAAAAAAAAAAAAGTTGTTGAGGGGGGTCAGAAAGTCGTTAGGAGCAGTGACAAAGTCGCTAAATTGGCAACACTGCTCCCGCCTCCAGGAACATCGGAGCAGCTTGTGGACTGTACCAACATGAGGATTAGTGGAGGGGGAGTCATGATCTTTGAATAAATAAAAAAACGTTGTTTTGCAGGTTAAATTATCTTGGGTTGTGCTCTGCTCTCATTGGACAATACTATATCACTGTTAAAAATGTTTATAAGCTCCATCTTTTGTGGGGGGGACAACGTTATGCCAGAGGGGACATGTCCCCCCCTGGGATTGTGGCCTATTGGCATAGATGTCACCTGTGTCCACAAACGTCCTGGTGCTGTTTTTACACATCACTGTCTCTGTAGAGAACTTACATCTGTTCTTATGTCTGAATTAATTTAGATGTGATCTACTAGTGCAGTGTCATGGTGTGATGTCATGTCATGTGACCTGTGCAGGTAAGAACCGGCGCCTGAAGCAGGCCAAGGAGGAGGCGCAGGCAGAGATCGAACAGTACCGCCTGCAGAGGGAGAAGGAGTTCAAGACCAAGGAGGCAGCAGTCAGTACACCCCCATTAGTCTTTTTGTGGTCTAGCTTCCTGTCCTAAATCTCTCCTGGTTCCGCCCCTCCCAGGCTCTTGGTTCCCATGGTAACAGTGCAGTGGAAGTGGACCGTGACACAGCTGAGAAAATGGCTCGTATCCAGGAGAGTTACCGTGGTAACCGTGAGATTGTGCTGAATGAGTTGCTGCGTCACGTCTGCGACATCAAGCCGGAGTTTCATTCCAACTACCGTGTGGCGGGCTGAAGGGGGCGGGGCCGACATCTGGCTCCTGCCCCTCCTCCTCTTCTGTTTGTGTCGATGTGTAAAAAGTATTTATGCTTCAAAGGAAATCTGTCTGTAAATTCTGTCTGAAATATCTGTGAGTACTGCGGAACGGCCCCTCGTGTAATTCACGTGAATCCTGAAACACAGAAATGCTTTAGATCCACTTGTTTGTGATCTTGTGACTTCCTGTTTGTAGAGAAATGACATTAAAGTGAACTGTGATTGGCTCAAACTGGCTACTCTGTGACAGAATCAGATATGAAAGTTTTTCTGCATCAGGAACAGCTTTTAAAGTCCTTTTGGATTAATGACTTGTTTGTTTTTAGACATCAGACCAATGTAACAGGTCACGAGTCGGACCTGACCATCACAAACGGGAAGGCTTAGTGAGGTTGTGTTGTCGGTTTACCTCCACACGTTTCCACCGGCGACCGCAGTCTTCATCAGCTGTTCTTCTGCCTGTGAGGGACCAGACTACTTCTCTTTGTAGACGACGAGTCTGGCAGGCCAGGCGGATCTATTACAGGGTCCTAAATATTTAACAGCATAGACTTAAGGTTTCGACACTCGACCCGTTTTAATTCTCCTGTTTCTATAACTGTAGGATTTGTAATTATGTGGAAAAATGCTCTTGTATCGTACCAAAAAGGCCACGTATTTCATTACAATGACCAGAAGTTAACTTTCTGACTTAGACCATACTTACACGGTCATGCCACTCTGACACGGTGGTGCTGACATTCCTAACTTATCCTGTGGTAGTTATCTTGTCTGGCTCATAAAATGACTCTTAAGTTATTACAATCATATCGTAATAAAAGGTCCTGCCCCAAGTGGAGGGGTTCATGTATCTCGGGGTCTTGCTCACGAGTGAGGGAAAACTGGAGCGTGAGATCGATAGGCGGATTGGAGCTGCATCTGCAGTGATGCGGGCGTTGTACCGGTCTGTCGTGGTGAAGAGAGAGCTGAGTCAAAAGGCGAAGCTCTCCATTTTCTGGCCGATCTACGTTCCTGCCCTCACCTATGGTCATGAGCTTTGGGTAGTGACCAAAAGAACGAGATTGCGGATACAAGCGGCCGAAATGAGTTTTCTCTGCAGGGTGGCTGGGCTCTCCCTTAGAGATAGGGTGAGAAGCTCGGTCATCCGGGAGGGGCTTGGAGTAGACCCGCTGCTCCTCCACGTTGAGAGGGGCCAGCCAGCTGAGGTGGCTCGGGCGTCTGGTCAGGATGCCTCCTGGTGAGGACAAGCCCTAAAGGAAGATCCAGGACCCGCTGGAGGGATGTCTTTCAGGTGGCTGGGAGAAGGAAGTCCGGGCCTCCCTGCTTAGGCTGCTGCCCCAACACCCCGACTCCAGATAGGTGGCCGAAAACGGATGGATGGATACTTATTAGGTCCTTGTAGAGAAATAGATTTTGTGACTTTGTGCTGATTTGTCTTCAGCTGTGGTGACAGGTGGCCCTATAGACTCCAAAAGTGTGTCATCATCATAAGAGATCGACAGATTTGTTAAAACATTTGAGTTTATTTGACATTTATTGCTGTTTTAACTCTTAAAAACTAGAAATGCTTGGTACTAGAAGTTTGACGGGTAGACGGACACATTCCTCCACAACATGGACGTAATTTGGGGGGGGGGGGGACATGTCCCCCCCCCACTTTTTCCGAAGTCAAGTTTTGACCCCTGCACTTTTTACCATCCGAAAACATTACGCTATATTAAATGGGCACTGGTTGAGCTCTAGGACCAAGCAGAAAACAACCGTTTACGTTGAAGCCTGTTTCCTATTAGAACATACTGTAAAGATCCCCCCCCCCCACCCCACCCCCACTTCTAAAGTGAAAATTACGTCCATGCTCCACAATACGTTTACAAAAAACAACTGACTAAAATTTAACAATAAGTCCTGCTGGTTCAAATAAATACAATATTACTGTATTTCCTGTTAAATGTGTGAAAATTTACAGAATACATGTTTCTGACAGATTTTAAAGATTTACAGTAAAACATTTATGAACGGATGACTCCGCCATGCTGACATCAGACCAGTAATTCACCAATTTCTACTGAGACGGGGTGCGATGGGTTTCCAGGAAGGTTCCCATAAAGCTCGGCACCTGCAGCCCAGTTGCTATGGTAATACTGCCACACCACACCTACAATACAAGTAAAAGTACAATCAGTACTATAGACAGAAGCTGCGATAGTACCTGAATGAGTACTACTCACAGTGAAAGCAGGGACGAGCGGCTGGACAAACTTTGTTTTGAAGCTATGCAGAAGACAAAGTCGATCAACGTCAACAAACAGCAGATCTCCTGAAACACAGAGACAGGTGAGCTGGGGTGGGAGGGTCGGGGTGGGTGCAACAGCTGTTTACAGTCATGGCACCGTGGTCATAGTCGCAGTAGATTCCGATTCGCCGCGGCAGCTGCCAGTCCAGCGCCTTTGCCCGGTTGTTGTGCTTGGCAGCAAGTGAACTCTGCAGCCATTGGCTGGCAAACAGACACCACGAACCAGCACTTTTCCCTAACTGGTCAAATCGCCCCAAGTTGCCCCGATAGGCCACGCCCACACTCAATGACTTCCAATCATCCAGGGGGCGGAGCTCCCAGTAGTAACAGCCCTTATTCATGTCCTGATCACCTAAGAAGAAAAGTCGGTGGATTCAGTCTTCAAATTAAAGTACGGTAAGATTCAGACTTTCAAAGTAAAGTCTAGTCGGCGTGGCGGTACCTAGCACCGTGTACGACTCTCCGGCAAATCGCTCACGTCTGACTCGACTTTCTGCCGTCTTATGTGGAGATGGAGTGGAGCCTCTGCTGGAGAAGAAGACCAAAAGAAGTTTTACGAACAGAGATGACTCACAGCACAAACAACCAATGGGGCTTAGCCGAAGCGATGACGCAGCAGGATGACAAAATCAAAGCAGCGTTTAGTGGTTCAAATGAAAATGTCTCCGAATTTTATCCAAACGAAAACTTTCAAAACCTCAAAAGTTGTTTTCAAACATTCTAAAACAGAAATACAAATAATTATGAAAATAAACAACTCAGTTTTGTTGTGTGGTGCCAGTGATGATGTCAGCAGTGATATGATTGGCTGCATGGAGTGAAATGATGATAAGAGTGACGGGCAGCGGCCAGGCAGCCATGACAGTTTCTACCTGAAGGGACTGAAGAGGCGGTACGGAGACTGAGGAGGGACAAAAAGGCAAGAGGGCACAGAGACAGAGAATCAGATCTGAAGTCAGGATTTCAGTTTCTGAGAAGCCAAAACAATAAGAACACCTGTTCAGGTGTAGTCAACCTCACCTGTTCTCACCTCTTCAGGTGTAGTCAACTTCACCTGTTCAGGTGTAGTCAACTTCACCTGTTCAGGTGTAGGCAACTTCACCTGTTCAGGTGTAGTCAACTTCACCTGTTCAGTTGCGGTAAACCTCACCTGTTCAGGTGCAGTAAACCTCACCTGTTCAGGTGTCAACTTCACTTGTTCAGTTGCGGTAAACCTCACCTGTTCAGGTGCAGTAAACCTCACCTGTTCAGGTGTCAACTTCACTTGTTCAGTTGCGGTAAACCTCACCTGTTCAGGTGCAGTAAACCTCACCTGTTCAGGTGTAGTCAACCTCACCTGTTCAGGTGTCAACTTCACCTGTTCAGTTGCGGTAAACCTCACCTGTTCAGGTGTAGTCAACCTCACCTGTTCAGGTGCGGTAAACCTCACCTGTTCAGGTGTAGTTAACCTCACCTGTTCAGGTGCGGTAAACCTCACCTGTTCAGGGGTAGTCAACTTCACCTGTTCAGGTGTGGTTAACCTCAACTGTTCAGGTGTAACTGGTCCACGGGCTGAGCTGAGGCTTCAAAAGATCTGAGGTGTTACGCCCCTAACCTGAACTAGGTATGACTAGACAGTGACATCACTCATCCATTCATCAGCTGATTCTTCAAGTCAGGCTTTTCTCACCTGTTGCGGGCGCTGATACTGGGACTCACCTTTGTGAGGGCTGGCGAGTTGCTCTCTTGACTTTTATGACATCATGATATGCTCACCTGCTTTTATTGTCCTTGCTTCGAAGGCGCGCCTCATGACCTTTGACCCCCTGCGGTTCCCAGGTGATCGTGTCGCCCTGAACCTTCAGCTCAGCGTGAGCCGTTGCAGCATCAAAGCCAAAGTTAAACGCTGACGAGACACAATAACGAGAAAGTTGTGACACTTCCTGTTTTCTCAGCCTCATTCTTTCCTGTGGGAGTTTACCTCTGGTTTCCATGGCAACAGGCTCTGAAAACTCTCCAGCAGCTGCTTTGTTTCTTGCTCGAACTCGAACAACAACGAACAGTGTATCAAATTTCAGACCTTCAAAATAAAAGCAAATGTTGCTAAGCAAGAAGTAGAATCAAGGCGAAGACCACGAGGTGATTAGAGCAGAGCTCGGTGTCTTAGCAGACTAGTGAACCTGCAGCCTCACCTGAGATCGTGACCTCTGTATTTCTAATGTCACAGATTTTTTCCCAGCATGCTCCTGTGACTCTCAGCGGGTTGTCACAGTTTGTTTTTCTGTATTCCAGTTCATAGCGTTCAATTGGTCCGCCGTCTTCAGCTGTCTCACCGATCGGTTGCCAAGCTACAGTGATGGCGTTATCGCGGACAGCACATCGTGATGTGTCAATCTCTGGAGATCCAGGAACTAAAAACAGAAGACTCGGGTTTTGATGGTAGCTACACTCTGTCCTAACAACTAATTATCTGGTTTCCACGGTAACCAGGTACACGGGAACATCCACCTAAATAACAAAAAGTCTACAACAAAAGTAAAAGCGCTCCATTGAATTTCTGTTACTTTTGTTTACAAACAACACGATAAAATACACAATCCAAGGGGCGTGGCCTCTGACCTGGCAGGAAGTAAAGGCGCTGAAGCCCCGCCCTTTCTGTGCTGAAGTCAACAGTATATTGGGACATGTTCTCTGAAACCATCGGCCGAGTAGTCAAACGGAATGCTGGAGCCATTGTTACCCTGGCAACAGTAGGGGGCGGTGCCAGGGTTATGTTAGTGGGTGGGGTTTCCATGCAAACAGAATTAACTGTGATTGGTTAGTCTGAGTTATTTGTGTCGGCAGGAATGTTAGTGATCCAAAGATAAACAAACAGCAAATCAATACAAACAACATGAAAATCAGTGCCGTACCGCTCTTTGATTTGTTTTGCTGCCTGAAAGAGAAACAAATTCAGCTGTTGTTTGTTTTGTTTACAAAAAATCGTTTTCTGCAGTCGGATGTCATACCGTGAAAAATTCTTCTTCGTTGGTAACGGACAGTGTTTGATTTGCGAACTCCAGCAGCTCCTCACAGGACAGAAGAGCATTCCTTCCCTCCAAAAGCTGTCGCTGCAAATCCCAACAGGAGACTAAACAAACAGTAAACAACAACAAACTTAAACATTAAGACTTGTTCACCTCAAGCTCCGCCTCCTTTCTCTGCTTCTCTTTATTGATGATGTCTCCCAGTTCAGCTCCTCTTTCCTTCAGCGCAGAGCTTAGCTTCTCAAGCTCCTCCTCCAGCTCTGACATCACTTTACAAGACTCCTCCTGATTGGTCATTGATTTAACTGCCTTAGTTAAAAAGTTGATTAAATTAATTTCACCCCTCCCCCCCACCCCACCCCAGCCAATGAGCTGCTGACCTGCAGGCCTGCCACAGTGTTATCGACTGATTCCAGGAAGTGATGAAGCTCCTCATTCTTACTGGCTAATGTGCTGATGATGCGTCGCAGAGCTTCCTGTTGATTACACACACACACACACACACACACACACACACACTTCACTGCTACAGCAAATCTACAGAACAATAAACACGTGACAGAACTTTCACCCTTGCTGTCGGCCATCATCCCTAGGCCACGTCTGCTGGAACCGGAAACCCGTGATGTCAGAGGAAACAAGCTAGCGCTAAACACCAGTCGCCGTTTTCTAGGTCCATACATCTGTTGTTGTCCCGTGGCTTCAGACGGTCTTTCTGGGACTCTGGTAGTTTGCCCTAAAGCTGAAGTGGTAGCAGCCAGCTGTTTCTCCCTCTCCGATGTTACTGAGGAGAACCTCTCAAACTAGTGGTGTTCTGGTGCTGAACACGTGTATGATGAGGGGAGGAGCCAGGGAAGTGCAGCCAGATGGTCCAATGGTTGGTTTGGGTCTGAAACATGTTTCTGGTACGTTTTAGAAGACACACCATGCCGGCAAATGTATTGAAAATGAAAGTAATCACGGACAATAAGTTTTCTTTTTGAACAACATCAGCTGAGACGGCAAACTAGAGCGTCTCTGTTAGAGCTGAAGCTTAGATCACCACGGGGACTGATAAGGACCGACGCCTTCAGGGGCGGCTTGTTAAAAAACCTAACCATCGCGGCTTCAATGGCAATAAAAAGCAAGTTCTCTTTCTTAACATTCGTTTCGATGTCTCACTATGGGATACGCCCCTCCGCGGATTCCTCAGAAGCACTTATCTCAATACGCCAATCCTGATTGGCCAGTGACCGTGACGTACGCGTCCCCCTGCTACTATAAGTAGCAAGCGTCCCAACGTACGCACTATTCAATCACCTCTTCTCGCTTCGGTGGTCGCTTATCTCTGAGGTAAGTTAGCTCAACTGTTCACAGACGGAGCCTTCTAATATTCTCTCCGTCGCCGAACGTTAACTTACCGTCCTTCTGTCCTGACCTTCACCATAGGCTCGGGGCATAACGAGCAGCTTCACACTCCAGTGCATCTGTTCGTTCTATGCTAACACACCAGTTAGCCAACATGGAAGCCGCTCTTCCCTCCAGAGGAGTCGACGGCGCAGGAGCTCGCCTCTGTACCTGTGGGAAGAAAATCTCAAGCAAAGACCCGCACAGGGTCTGCTCGAGCTGCCTCGGGCTGGAACACGCCCAGCTGGCATTGGAAGACCCCGGGTCATGTGAGAGCTGCGCTTGCTTCACCCTGAAGAGCCTTCGCCGGCGGCTAGCGCGCCAAGCTAGCCTGTCGGGGAAGGACCCTTGCCTGCCGGCCCCTGGGCCACCGCCTGGGGACGCCAGCGAACATGTCCTCCTGGAGCCGGAACCGTGTGCCGCACTCAGCTGGGGCTCACAGCTCGAACTGGCCGGTCCGAGCCACCCCGCCGAGGACGTGTTGGAGTTGGACTACGGAGACGACGAGGACACCTCGGAACTCCTCATTTCAGAGGAGGACGAGGAGGATGACGTCTTTCTCCCCATCGCTCAGGCCTCCATGCCTAGCTTTCCGTCCTCTCCCAGGGATGGAGCGGCTTCTCCGGCCGCCCACCTGGACATGCAGTCAGTCTGCCGACGCGCTGCGACCAGGCTCAACATCCCTTGGCCCACCGTGGTCACTGAGGCTGTCAGATCCCGCTACGAGGGAAAGAAGCTGCCTCAGGCCACGAGGGCGGCAAAGCCCCTCCTTCCCGCCTTCCCGGAGCTACTCCAAGAAGTGAGGTCCTCCTGGGACAAACACCCGTTCAGCTCCAGGTCTCCTGTCCAAGGAGCCTCCTCGCTGGACTTCGAAGGGATGGAGAAGGCTGGCATGCTTCGCATGCCGCCGATGGAACCGCTGGTTGCAGCCCACCTGCACCCACGGCTCTCGGCGACTTCCTCCAGGCCTCCCGCTCTCCCTGCGAAGGCGGACCGCTTCCAGTCGGCGCTGAACGAGAGGGCGTACAAGGCTGCCACCATCTCGGTCCGAACTTTGAATGTCTCCTCCATGCTCTCGGCGTACCAAGCCGAGCTCTGTGAGGACATGAATACGAAGCCGGACCCAGAGGTGTGGGAGGAAATCACCGTACTGACCGACATCTGCCTGCGTGTGCAGCGCTGCGCGGTCCATGCTACGGCTAAAGCTATGGGCATGATGGTGCTTCAAGAACGTGCACGATGGCTGAACCTCACCAACCTCTCTGAGAGAGAGGAGGACATTTTGGACATGCCAATCATGCCTGAAGACATTTTTGGCTCTGCCCTGGCATCAATGCAGCAACGGTGTGCGGCCAAAAAGAAAGAGGATGAAGCCCTTCATCTCTGCCTTCCCCGTAAACCCTCACCGGCGCTGCCGTCTCGGCCGAACCTGCCTCAGGCAGCTGACCGAGCCCAGCCTCAGTTCCGGATCCCAAAGCGCCCGAAGCCTCAAGCTGTCCAACCAGCTCCTTCGGGCTCAGAGCCTCGACCAGTTTGGCCTCAGGGATCCGGCAACCAAGCTGCTCCGCCGCCGGGACAATCCACCAGACACGGCGGTCAGCAGGTGAGGAGGAAGAAGTGGGCAGCCTGTCGGAGTTCTTCCCTCCCGACGCTGCAGCTGGCGGTTCCCCGTTCGCCAGCTCCTCCTGTTCGATGTTGCCATGGTGCTTTCTCCCCCCCCTCACGGAACCCCTCCGGCAGAGTTCCCGAGCAGTCCAGGGTGGGGCCAGGACGTGCAGCTGGCGGTGCCAGCTCAAAACACACGTCACAAGCACTCACATTGTTTTTCACAAACATGTCACGCTCAAGGAGCATTAAAAGGTTCGCTGTCGCATCCAGACAAGATGTCAAGGGCGCAGCAAAAATCAATAAAAATGTCACCCATGAGCGGTTCCAGGCGGGGGCGGCCCCTGGCGGACTTTCCCGCCAGCCACGGGTCGTCCCCGTAAGCCTGGGCCGTCAAAGCACAAAGCCCCCGCGCATGCGCAGTGGCTGCCACGAGCACCGCTGCCCCACAACCTCTGGAGGGAGCTGCTGCTCCGTGTGTCACGGCTGTGTCACCGCTCTCCACTCACATAGAGGAATGGACAGCGATTTCTGCTTCACGTTGGGTGCTGAGCACTATCCCGAGGGGTTACAGGCTCCAATTTGCTTCTGTTCCTCCTCGATTCTCCGGCGTAGTGTTCTCCCACTCCCAGGGGTCGTCAGCTCACATCCTACAGGGAGAAATCTCCTCCCTGCTGGAGAAGGGAGCGATATGCATTGTGCCTCCCGATCGGTCTCAGAGTGGTTTCTACTCCAGGTACTTCCTGGTCCCGAAGTGGGGAGGGACCGGGATTCGCCCGATCCTGGATCTGAGGGCCCTGAACCGATGCCTCAGAAAGTACAGATTCAAAATGCTCACGCTCTCATCCCTTTTGCATCTGATTCACCAGAGCAACTGGTTCACCTCAATCGACCTGAGGGACGCATACTTTCATGTTCCCGTGTACCCTCCACACAGGAAATTTCTGAGGTTTGCCTTTCAGGGAGTGTGTTACGAATACACCGTGCTCCCATTCGGCCTCTCGCTGAGCCCGAGGGTGTTTGTCAGGTGTACGGAGGCGGCGATCGCCCCTCTGAGAGGGAGGGGCATTCGGCTGGCCACGTATTTACAGGTGCTGGCCAGTAAATTAGAATATCATCAAAAGGTTGAAAATATTTCAGTAATTCCATTCAAAACGTGAAACTTGTACATTATATTCATGCAATGCACACAGACCAATGTATTTCCAATGTTCATTACATTTAAATTTGATATTCATAAGTGACAACTAATGAAAACTCCAAATTTGGTATCTCAAAAAATTAGAATATTCTGAAAAGGCTGAATATAGAAGACACCTGCTGCCACTCTAATCAGCTGATTTACTCAAAACACCTGCAAAGGCCTTTAAAAGGTCCCTCAGTCTTGTTTTGAAGGCACCACAATCATGGGGAAGACTTCTGACTTAACAGCTGTCCAAAAGACAATCATTGACACCTTGCACAAGGAGGGCAAGACACAAAAGGTGATTGCTAAAGAAGCTGGCTGTTCGCAGAGCTCTGTGTCCAAGCACATTAACAGACAGGCGAAGGGACGGAAAAAATGTGGTAGAAAAAAGTGTACAAGCTCTAGGGATAACCGCACCCTGCAGAGAATTGTGACGACAAACCCATTCAAAAATGTGGGGGAGATCCACAAAGAGTGGACTGCAGCTGGAGTCAGCGCTTCAAGAACCACCACGAGGAGACTCATGAAAGACATGGGATTCAGGTGTCGCATTCCGTGTGTCAAGCCACTCTTGAACAAGAAACAGCGCAAGAAGCGTCTCGCCTGGGCCAAGGACAAAAAGGACTGGACTGATGCTGAGTGGTCCAAAGTTATGTTTTCTGATGAAAGCAAGTTCTGCATTTCCTTTGGAAATCAAGGACCCAGAGTCTGGAGGAAGAGCGGAGAAGCACAGAATCCACGTTGCATGAGGTCCAGTGTAAAGTTTCCACCGTCAGTGATGGTGTGGGGTGCCATGTCATCTGCCGGTGTTGGCCCACTCTGTTTCCTGAGGTCCAGGGTCAATGCAGCCGTCTACCAGGAAGTTTTAGAGCACTTCATGCTTCCTGCTGCTGACCAACTTTATGGGGATGCAGACTTCACCTTTCAACAGGACTTGGCACCTGCACACAGTGCCAAAACCACCAGCACCTGGTTCAAGGACCATGGTATCCCTGTCCTTGATTGGCCAGCAAACTCGCCTGACCTTAACCCCATAGAAAATCTATGGGGTATTGTGAAGCGGAGGATGCAATACGCTAGACCCAACAATGCAGAGGAGCTGAAGACGACTATCAGAGCAACCTGGGCTCTCATAACACCTGAGCAGTGCCACAGACTGATCGAGTCCATGCCACGCCGCATTACTGCAGTTATTGAGGCAAAAGGAGCCCCGACTAAGTATTGAGTGCTATACATGCACATTCTTTTCATGTTCATTCTTTTCAGTTGGCCAACATTAGAGAAACAAACATTTTTTCA